TAGGTCTCTGGTGATTTACATAATTTCTTGGTTTTTTGCTATTTCCTACTGGTTTAAAAGAGAAATCTCCGACTCTACATGGTTTGACATGCTCAAGGTTATGGAAGAAGAACTTGGATTTCAAAGTTTAATACTTAATAGCTCTTTCTTTTGATGGAAATAACAAATACTTTTTCTATTCCATATAGTACTGAGCTTTATTGTCCTGCTCTTGGGGTGTTTATTAGTCTCCCTTGTACATTCTAGAACTTGGTTTGCATTTGGTACCAACAAGTATCATCAAGAAAATAACACAAACTTTAGAATATGTTTTTGCAACATTATTGTCACTTGCTTTTAATCAAGTGCCATATTCACAATTACTTGACGCATTGGTAATGAACTAATCCCCCTGTCACCAGTCCAGCCAATGCAGCTCCAAACAAAGTATGCAGTCTTACATTGTAATACTTTGCCATGATGATAATTTCTTTGTCCTTGTGGTTCTCTGACGTTCATTTATATGATTCAGTCTGCAATTAATTCATCTGAATGATCGATTGCCATTTTTTTGTTTACAGTTTATAGAAATTTCTAAGTGTAGATTTGGAAAGTAATTTTCTTTATCTTCCCTTTTGTATGCGCGTGAGTTGTACCTCTCATTTAATTTCACTAGTGCACGTGTGCCCAGGAAGTATCTCAGTTCTGTTTGACATGCCATCTGTAGAACTTTTTAACATGCTTCTCTACTTTAAACGATGTCACATAGTTGACTATGGAATGGATGACAACCTTATCTTATTTCTTCATTTCCCAGGTAATTATTTAAATAATTTTCATTGATGTGCTAATATGTTTAAAAAATTATGCAGGATCTCGAAGGGCAGAAAACTCTTTCAACATGGCAATTGGGTGTTGTCTTTTGTACCTTATGGCTTGTAGCAAAAATGAACTTGAAAAGATGGTTGAGTTGCGGAAACAAATGGAAATGCTCCTTGGAAATGTCAAAGAACTTGAGAGGAAACATCTGCTGCCTGAACCACCTGCCCCAGATGGTGCATATGCATATTCCGAAGATGCTCCAGAGAGTCCAGAATCTAATAAAAATCTTCCCCTTCAAATCCTGCCAAGATCTTTCACTTTACCAGAAGTATCCACCATCACGGCATGTGATAAGTCTTTGAGATTTAGCATACCTGATATGGGAGAAACTCTCGAAGGAATTGATGAGCTTGAAGTAGAACTCCAGGCTGAGCTAGAACGCCTGCAACTCCATTTAGACGCAGAGAAGTTTCTGAGGCATCCAGAGGAACAAAAAATGAAGGTAGTGTTTGTTCATGTATAACAAAAAGAGTATCTCATTGTCTTAGATATTTATTCTAAGTTCTCCATGCTTGTGGCCTTAATGGCAACTCATGAGAAATCTCTATGCTTTGGACAAACTTACCTGTGGAGATTTCTCCAGTCCACTAAATTACCTATTGGAGCTTTATATCTAGCTTTTTTAGGATTAAATTTTAAATTGAATCCAACATGGTTACGAGAGTTGAATTTTTTTAAATGATAGGTTCGTGTTAATGACACTGCTTCCAGTAGAAGCCCTGGTTCTAGCTCCCCGGAAGTCATTGATCCTGCAAGTGACTCTCAAGAGGTGCACTGTGATGTGAACTGTGGAGTTCCTTCCCGTGAACTTGAAAGAAGATTGCATGAATTACTGGAAGCCAGGCAGCAAGAACAAATAAGAGAGCTAGAAGCTGCTTTAGAATGTGCAAATCAGAGGCTTCATGAGAAAGAAAAGGAGATTTCTTGGTGGAGAGACACAGCAAGACTCGTTTCACAGCATATTCAATAACAGAAACCACAGCTTATTCCAAATGTGGGCCAGAAATCTGTCCCTTTTTGAGGTGAGCATCAACTTGTACAATGGCTTCTTAGAATTGATTAATGATCTGTAAGTTGCTGATCGATTAAATTGATACTGTGTTTGGCTGAATTGCTTTTACCCTTTTGCCCTTTTTGGTCAAAGGATTGCATAGTATGTGCATTACAGATTTACAAAACTGTAATGATAAATAACATCAATATTAGACAAGTTTAAAGAATGGAAAAGGAAAAAAAAGGAACATTGCTGTTGGTTTGCCCATTGGAAAGTTTGTAAGTTGAATCTGCTTTGAAGCAAGTGTTTGGAATTGCAAGTTTGCTGTAATTTTTCTTTCTCGTTCTCTTGGAATTTAAGGATTTGTGAAAGAGTGTTATACATATGTAAAAATGATTCATGTTGAAAAACCTTGGAGTTTTATAGTCATCTCTGGCATGGTGTAACATTTATTGCATTTTTTTATGCTCTATGGTGCAGTTGGATATGTTATTATAATTTACACTACGTGTAAGATTGAAAATATTGGAGTTTAAATTAGATTTAAATTTGGTGAACTATATTACTTTTTTAATTTAAAGAATGACAAATAGTGTTTACTACATATCTTTTGATGATAGACTTAAATTGAATGCTCAAAATCTTGTGTTAGACTACTCATATTATATTATTACTAAGAGTTTATTTAGAAATAAGAACTAACAGATGAATTTGTTGGCATTACAAGTAGTATTTGTATAACTTCATCAGTTATTACTGAAATTTAAGATGTCTAAATCTTGCGTAGGATAAAAAATATTAAAAAGTTTATTGTAAAGATTGACATCTTATAAATAAAATCATTACTAGAACTCTATTATTGCGAATAAAAGATAAAAATTTCTCATTTAAGAAAATTGCATTGATGATTTGGACTAATATCGTCATATTTTTTTTAACTATCATTAAATTCAGTTTTATTTAAATTTTAATTATACAGAGAATAAAACGTTTAATGAAAATAATTTTTTATTTTAAAAATTAGGTTATGTCCTATTTAAATTAGTTATTTATATATGAAGTAAACTGTAGTTTATTACTATATAAATTAAAAATATAAACATTATTTATCAAATGCATAAATATATTACTATATTTCTTATATTGAATGATTGAACTCGTGAGAGAGAGTTAGGAGATTAGTAATGTGTAATAGAAATTTTTATTTTATAAATATATATATTTCAGTAATTCAAGAAATTGTTATTTAATTATAAAAATGACAACAAGTTGTGTTAAAATTTTATGTATCTTAAATCCGAAATAGATTTTGCAAAATTTATATTATTTTTAGACCAATCGAGATTCTCGATAAATTTAACTTAACTTGAATTATATATAAATATTGTTATATATTTATAATTAATTTTTTTAAAAAAAATCTTATATATGCACACTAAATTTAATAAATATATTATTTTTTTTTCATTAAGATTAAATTTTGAAAAAAAAAAAAGCAAACAAATAGGTTGTATTCATAAGTTATATGATCATAGTGGGCTCAATATAAATAGATTTGGGATACAAGCTTCAGCCCGAACAAAGAAATTGCCGCGTACGCGTTTCCGCTTTCGGAAGCTAACCGGCCCCCTCCCAGTTACCGTTTTCCCAAGCGATCTCCAGCAATCACGCCATGCCACGTGGATGCGACACTTTTTAAGCCACTCAAACGGAAAAAGGTGACCACTGAGAGTGCGCATTACGCACCCCTCACCTGCCGCACTTAAAAACTTCAATCTTCATCTTTTCACGTACCTATTTTTCCCTTTTGCAGAAAACCAAACCACAAAACCAAAATCAAAGATTTCAACTCGACTTTGAAACCAAAAAAAAAAAAAAAAAAAAACTCGAGGCCTCTCTCTTTTTGCGACTTTCCAGCTCCTCTCTGCGTTAGGAAAGTCAACGAGAGAAAAGTCAGCGGGCGAGGAACCGAGAACTACGACCTCTATTTCAGGGTAGGTTGCTGTAACTGAATCCCTCTGTCTTGTGCTTATACCTATTCCTCTTCTTCTTCGTCCTTTTCTTCCTCTTCTTCTTCTCTTTTGGGTTTTAAACAGAAAATGTCTCTGCTAACGGTGATGGCAATTCTCTGTTTATACTCTCTTTGTTGCAGCATGGCGAAAGCGGATACAAGTTCTATATTCGGCTCATCTAATGAGTTTACTCTCGATACTGTGAGAGACGCACTGATCAGGCAAGAGGACACAATTGTTTTCAGTTTGATAGAGAGAGCTAAATTTCCTCTCAATTCTCCGGCCTACATTGAGTCTCCCTCTTTAATTCATGGATTTCGCGGTCCTTTGGTACACTTTGTTGTTAGAGAAACCGAGGCCGTTCAAGCCAAGGTAAAGTCAAGTCTCGTCTCTTTCCTCCTCCACTCTGCTTTGGCTTTTAGCCTTTTGCTTTCTTTGTTCTTTGTCCTTTGCGTTGTCTTGTAGTGGAATATTTATCTTCACGTTGAAATTATCGTTTAAAAAATCAAAAGTTTCTTCCCGGTTTCATGAAAACTCATGCCCTTTCAATTGGATGTTAGTTACCAGGTCAGCTTTCCCCTGTGGTTATTTACCATTATAATAAGATCAATACCCGATTCTCTTTTTTCTGTCAAATCAAATATAATAATCGTGCGACATGTTTATGGCTCTATCGCAAACAGAGAAACGCGGTGTATTAGTGCCAAAACATGATTGTAACGCGGAACAAATTGATTTTCTTCTTAAAGCAGGCTAATAAAGCTTTTTATAGTGATCAAGGGAACAGATTGGCCGTGTTTTGGATTTACGGGTATTCTGAGAAAGGGCAATCGCGGCGATGATTTCTACAATAAATGTTCACCAAAATTTAATAAATTCACCCAATAGCAAGTCAGACCCTTGTGCATAATTTGGTATTTTTTTTCTAGCTCTGTTGTCAGTAACTTAGTTTCTGTACGATATGTTTGACTTCTCTTCTCATAATTGATGCAACTTTATTGCAATTAGCTGCATGTCCCTGTAGAATTGTTCGACTTTTCCAAGTACACTTTATGGCAATTAGCTGCATGTCCCACTGTCCATAAGTTAGTCTCTGTAGGATATGTTTGACTTCTCTTTTCGCACTTTACTGGAACTATAACAATCAGCTTCAGTTAATTTCTACTTCTGGTTCTTGATCATCTTTTATTTACAGGCAGGGAGATATGTAAATCCGGAAGAACATCCCTTCTTCCCTGATCATCTACCACATCCACTGGTGCCTCCTCACAAATATCCGCGGGTAGTTGGTTTTCCAAAACGTTGTTTTAACCATTTCAATGCTTAGGTATTATCAATTAGGCTAATCCCAAACTACAGATTTTGCATCCCGCAGCTGCTTCCATTAACATAAACAAAGACATATGGCATATGTATTTCAAGGAACTGCTGCCATTGTTTGTTAAAGCCGGTGATGATGGCAACTATGCATCCACGGCGGCAAGTGATATGGAGTGTCTGCAAGTAAGTTGTTTTTCAAGGTTGAAGCAAATGAGTATGTCGAAGAAAATAACAAAACTATTACTACTTACTGACCAATCTGTTAGGTTTCTTAGGCACTAAGATAATTGAATTCCCCTGGTCAACATAAAACTTGGAGAATTTCATAGGACCAAGATGTTAGATAGTAGAGTTAACCGATTTATTTTCCCAAAGCTTATTTATATATTGATCAACATAGGTCCTTCTTTGCATCGCACAAGATTTAAACATTAAAACTTGACTTTCCATGGACGTTAAACAAGTGGGTTTTAACGGATTTTTACAAAAATTTGAACTTATAAAAGATAATTTATGATCCGAAAAAAAATTTAAATTAATTGAAAATTATAAATATTTCTTTCAGGCCCTCTCCAGAAGAATACATTATGGAAAATTTGTTGCTGAGATCAAGTTCAGGGATGCACCGAAGGACTACGAGCCAGCAATTCGTGCTAAGGTAAAGATGGGTCCTTAGCAAACTAAATTTTGCACTGACTTTTTCACTCGGCAGTAAGAAAGAACAATGAGGTCCGACACCATGTCATATGATTCCTTAACTGCTCTTCTAATATTTTTTGAACGAGTTGATCATTGTTCATCTTCTTAATTCCTGTTCTCTGACTTATTTCGACCATAATATTTTTTGCTTTGCCATATAATGCTTTTTCAGGACAGAGATGCTTTGATGAAGTTATTGACATTCCCAGATGTAGAAGAGATGGTAAGAAAGAGGGTTGCGAAGAAAACAATGACATTTGGGCAAGAAGTGACTCTGAGTGACAATAAGACTGTAGGGGAGCCCAAGGTTGATCCATCCGTAGTTTCTCGTCTCTATGAAGAGTGGGTGATGCCTCTTACTAAACTCGTTCAAGTTGAGTACCTCCTCCGCCGCCTCGACTGAAAAAAGACTACCGAGGAGTACGAACGAATTATATAATCTTTTGATGAACACAACTGTGGCTCTGTCCATTTAACATTACCATGACTTAAAAACTTTATATAATTTGAAGTGGGGCTGTAATTTCTTCAGTTGAGGTCATAAAACTATTGAAATAATATTTTATTTTTAAATACTCAGTCAACTCATGCATCTCAACATATTTTATAAAGAATTAACTGACTCTTTTTAAGTTTTACAAGCATTTCACCCTCAACAATTAATGGGTTTGTACTTTAAACCTTAATATCTCACCCCTGCTTCGAATCCACAAGTATTGACAATTGACATAAAAAAATTGAATAGTTGACCATATAAATACAAGTTAGCCAAAGAGTGCGTGATTGGGTCAAAAGCTTTCATATTCTCACTTTTCAAACTTTCTGATTCGTCTGATTTCAATTAATGTTTTTACTTATAAAATACTACTAATTTAATTTATTGCGATCCTCAAACTTTTTACTTTTAATTTTTTTTTTAAAAATGCTGATTATTATAAATAAATTTAACCACAATAAAATTTTTATTTTATACAAAAAAATAATAATAATAATTTAATTTGATTATAACTATTCCATCGATACACTATTAAAATAAATAATTATTCTTATTAAATTAAATATTATATATTAATACAATACATTGGTTATTTTTTTTTTAAAAAAAGTCTATAAATAAATTGCTATAAATTACCCCACTCATAATTTTAGGATTAAATTAAGTAGCCATAATCTTAAAAAAAAAAAAATCATTAAGTCGGGATAATTACACCTGGGTTTATTAATTTGATGAAATTAAAATTTAACCGAAATTCAGAACTGATATTTATTTTCAATTAATTTGATGAAAATTAAAAGACTCGACAAGGGAGCTGAGCCTTTTGCCTTTCCCCTTTCCCCTTTCCCCTTTCCCCTTTCCCCTTTCCCTTGTAGGTACAAGATATCTTAGATTTAAAGGGCATATATGTCATTTCACCTATGAGCTCACGTTTCATTTCTCGCTGTTCAAAAATAACTCCTGCCAAAATTTTCTCTCTTTCCAAACACAGACGACATACATGCACCCGCGCTGTGCGTGGGACTGATCGTGGAAGAAGACGAAGAAGAGAAAGACCCCAGAAATCTCTCCCACTTGGCCAGCACAGTGTGAAAATCCCACTTTGCTACTCAGGATTTGTGAAAAATTTACAGCAAAAGGGTTTAGGGTTTATACTCTAGTTGACAGCACATTTGGGAGAAACTCAATGTAAGTCGCTGATTTTGTTTCTCTCTTTAGTAACGCCTTCTCTCTCTAGTTACTGTTTTTTTTGCTTTTGATGTCTAGCGCCTCTCTTCGTTTCGTTAGGTTACTGTTGTTTAGCACTGAAATGCCAGATATACATCTTATATTTTCAGTATTCTCTTTATACTGTTAGTATTGCTTTCGAGCATTAGTGCATTACTGAGTTCAAGTGTAAGTTTCACGTTGTTCTGTGATTTCTGGAAGGGTTTCTTTATTTGAATGTATAACTGGATGTAACTTTTTCCCACGTCCATTTAGGAGTCTGATGTTTGAGAAGGCGTTTTCGTCTCTCTAAATTTATCGTTTTCAACGAAGAAACGTGTGATATAAACGGTATGCCTGATTGACAAACATCTTTGACGAGAACGGGAAAAAAACTGGAATTTTATTTCCTTTCAGATTACTCTATGCTTATATTGTTGTATGGTTTTAAGGATTGTTCAAGAGTAAGATGCTTCAGAATTTATTAGGAGTTTTAACAATTCAGTTGGTTGATGCCTGATATGTATTAGGGATTTTATACTTAATTTTACTTGAGCAGAACCAGAAAGGCAAGAATAATTTTTTTTTAAAGAAAACACCATATTCAGAGACCTGGGCTTTTTTTTCTTTTTATATCCTGAACCGATTTTTACCTAAAGTTTCTAGATTACTTGCATGAAATTTTCAGGTAAACCGCACGTGTCCATATTTCATAATGCTTGAAACTGAAGTTACTTTGTTCTTTGTTAGGGAATTATTTCTTGCCCTCTCCCCTTGTCTACTTCTAGCAAAGGGGAATTGTTTCCTCCAAAAATTTGAGTAAGATGGCAGAGGAAGAAACTCATGCATTCTTCTGCTTCAGCTCACGATTTTGTTTGTTTTTTTCCCTTAGGAATGAGTAGTATACTTTTTAGGGCCTGGGTTATGCTACAAGGTTGTGGAGAAATTTTCAAAATCAATAGGAAATGGCTGAATGGTGCTAGTTTTATTTTCTTTTATGTTTTCTATTGTCAAACAGGGTATGTGGATGTAAAATTTGGTCTTCTCCCTTTTCTGATAGTTAATTTATTCGTTTCTTGTTTGTTTCTGGCCAGATTTTCAGTCATATGGGTGCGTCATCAGATGCTAAGAAAGATATAGGTATGACTCGTAAGGGTTTAGAGTCTTCAGATGGAGATGATGTAGATATGAATGATCTTGATCATATTGAACAAGTCAACATACATGACCTGGGGGAAGATTTTTTGAAAAAGCTCTGTAGAAATGCGTCAATTTCATTTTTTAAGGAGTATGGTCTCAATAGTCATCAAATCAACTCATATAATGACTTCGTCAAGCACGGCCTCCAAAAGGTTTTTGATTCTTATGGCGAGATGACAATCGAGCCTACTTACGATCCATCAAAGAAGGGAGATAATGATTGGCGTTATGCTTCTGTGAGGTTTGGGAAGGTCACTGTTGATCAACCAACTTTTGTTGGTGGCACTAATTGTGATGAAAAGAATATGCTCCCTAGGCATGCCAGGCTTCAGAATATGACTTACGCGTCCAGGATGAAAGTGAATGTTCATGTGCAGGTTAACAGAAATATTGTTTTATCTTATAAATTTGTATCTATTTTGTCCTTTTGGATTGTTCGCATTTGATATTAATAATGGTAAATATTGTACTATATTTGGTAGTATCTTTTGTTACGAACAAGCTAAAGTATATGCTTGAACCCCTTCAGTACTTTCTAAAAAAGTCTGGCGTAGTAGACCTGGCTGGCAAGGAGTAGAATTTAAAAGTTAATATTTCCAGTAAAGTAATATAAGTGCAACATTCTTTACAATTAAGAAGCTGATGTGTTTGCTTCAAAACATATTCCTTACATCCCCGTTAATATTTCCTGTTTTGCTTCTCATGGGAAACTAATCTTGAATTGAATATGGGAATTGTTACTAAATGCATAAATAATGCTACTTCTATCATATTCTCTTGCTAGCTTTTCCCTAACATCAACCAAGAGCCTCTGGCTCTAGCGGTACTAATACCCCTTTGTGGG